TTCAAAACATCTGAAATCAACCAATTTATTAGTATACAACTTTATTAAAACGGTCCTAGAATCCTCTATGATTAATTACATGCCTATAACTGAAGGTTCAGTGTCTACAATCAGAGCCCTAGGGACATAGGAGTTGTCTTGCGACAAAGAAAACATTGATGTAGAATTGGTTGTTAATTCTTGAACCGTTCCATCTGCATTGATTCCATGTTCAAGACAAAATAATTCCCAACATGCTAATCCAATTTGAACACCAGCTTGTCCAATATGAATCCATATGAACTCACCTTGTGATGGAGGTGGTGGTGGTGGTGGAGGTGGTTCTAGTTCAACTTTTTTCGGTTGTGCCTTTTTAGATTTCTTTTTTTGTTTCTTGCCAGATTTCTTTTTTCCCCCTTTTTTCTAAGAGTTATTTTTTAATACACATTAACAATATTTTTAATCGTAATATTTTCTTACCTTTCCCAATTTCTTTTCATTCTTTTTATTTATTTTCATTTTTTTTTTAAATATTAGGTAAAATTGCTCTGATGTATTAAAAACATTTATTATTATTTGAATTGTTATATTTCCAATGTTACATGAAATAGATATACATTTTTTTGACCACTACTTTTTTTTTTTTTTTAATGGCTGAACAACTTAATTTTATCAAATCTTAACAAATTATATGGGATCTATGTATACAAATATTCACATTTTCTGATCTCAATTAATAGATTCATTACTCTGTATTCCTTTTTGCTTTCCACAAACAATGTTCAATCTTTACAGAAAAGCAATAGGTACATTATTCATACCACTATTAAAAATTAATTAGCATAAAACAATTATATTTCTATAAACAGACATAATTATGTTTGAAAAAAAAATACAGTAGATACTGATAAGTGAAAAATACTTGTATAAAAACAATTTTCCAATCATTTATAAATACTTACTCTATTTATTTTAATCTTAAATTACACTAAAACTAATCTAATAATTTATATTTTAGGTAATGTTTTAAGTTCATGTACAAGCCATAAAGCCAGTGAAAGTAAAGTAAGTGACCCTGACTGATGAGCAGCAGCTAGTGAAACCGGAACATAAGTAAGAAGTGTAGAAATTCCTAATCCCATCTAAGATAAAACAATTTTAATCAACAGATATAATATGTTTACACAATTTTTTTTCAGTTAATTCTTACTTGGCACCATGAAAATGCTGCTAAAGCAGTGGCAGCTGCTTTAGCTCTTGGAGGCAGCTTACTTTTTCGAGACATAACATATAAAGCTGACAAAATTGAAACAGTACTTATTCCCTATAAGATGATATCAAAATAAGTAGTTGATTATTATTTTTATAAATATGTTATAAATTACCAATATTCTGTGGTCAAATTGCACTGTGGTAGGATTCTCCGTGATGTTGCTAAGTACAGGTTCTATTTGCATTATATCATCTGGTATCCATTTGTCACCCATTTTTGGAAAAGAATTATAAACCAATCCAGCATCTAAACCAGCCACAAATGCACCTAAACGTTGTATGAATAGGATAATTAATTTTTAAATCAATTTATTATATTTCGGTAATTTATTACACTCAGAATATTATATAAATTTCTAGATAGTAATTTATTAATAGAATACAGTATTTATAAGCTTAAATTACATATAATATACATTTTAAAATAAAATATAAAATCAAAATTTATATTAGTAATCCCTTTTTTATTTATTCATAATAATAAACGAGTTTAGATTATTAATTATACATACCAGACATAGCGGTTAAAAAGACTAATCCTTTAGCTGCCATTGCTAGTCCCACAAACTTTTTAGTAACAAATCCAGTTACTGTAACTGGTAAGAGGATGCGTAATGAGTTTGTTAAAAGAAATGAATACAACACAAATGCTAAACCCAAATGGGAAGCCAATCTGTACTGTGAAACTCTTGGGACGTCTGTGGGCTTGTCAAATCTATCTTCTAGACCAGATTTTACCATATACCATCCCATTAAACCCTAAAATAAAAGTATATTAATTAAAAATCAATAACTTTTTTTAAATTTATCAAGTATAATGAAAAAAAATCAGGTTTATGACTATAGTAAATAATATATACTACTAATATTACTTATAACTTATAATAGTTAATTTAAACACTAAGCACCTATGTTCTTACAGAATAATAAGGTGTTTTCTTACAGCTACAATAGATACATTTTTAATTTTCTTACGGATTTAATTTATTTTTGACTGTAGTAATAGGTACACAATAATATCTAGTTGATTATTTCTTATAAACCAATAACAGTTGTTTTTAATTAGTTAGCCGACCACTCATATCCCACTTTTTGATTAATGTGGCTATTGATATAAACTATAAAGTATAAATAATAATCCATACTTAAAAATCTTTCAATATATTTAATATAATACCAATCACTAAATCAGTATAATGGTCAATCTACAAATTTCACAACAATATATATTCATATCATGTTTGAATTAGTGTTGGGAATTATTCAAATATTTGAACATGATGATAGCAGCTATTTAAGAACATTTTAACTATGTACCTAATCCAGGGCCGAATTAAAGGGGGGGGGGGGGGTGCAATGGGTGAGATGGCACCAGGCGAAAAATTTGCTTTAATAATTTATCCTTGGTATAATATATCTTAATTATTACTAATACAAAAAATTTTGTTTTGCCTTTTTTATTTGTATGCATAGTTATGTTTTTATTTATTTATATAACATTTATAAATATTATTTATCTTCAACATGGTTATCATAATATATTAATATATTCATTTAACAAATAAAAATAGGCGTGTTTTGGAGGAGTAAACTGTTTAGTAAATAAGTTTATCGATATAGAATACGGTTAGAAAACGTTTACTTGAACGCCAAGACAATTGCTTGAACATTTTGTTTACTGAAATATTTGATAACATTTGATATCATAAACTTTTTAGTAACCAAACCTCAGTAACCCTTCTTACCAAGTCGAAATCGACGGTAACAAAATTCACTTAACTCGTTCAAGTAATTAGTTACCTGGTTACAGTGACCGTAATCAAGAAAACAATATCAGTAAAAGTTTACTAGCGGTTACACACCAAAACAAGCCTATTATATAAATAGTAATAAAAAAAAGTGACAATTGATAGACTTATAGAGTTAAATAAAATTAAAACAATTTTATGTATTTATATCATTATAGTTGATTAAGAATTTGCCGTTCAAGTTTGGACCATGTACTATATAATATTTTTACAAAAATGAATCAAAGCTTGTATATCAAATAAATTTAAAAAATTTAAAAAAGGTGGGTAGCAAATTTTGTTTGCCTGGGCGGCTTCATTTTAAATTTCTAAATGCGGCCCTAACCTAATCAAAATGTAAGATAAAAAAAGTTTTTATTTAAATCTCAACTCTATTTTAAATTAAATAAAGTTCAATACTTATAGAATAACATTGTATTAATGTCATACTTGTCCTGCTAACAATACGGCACAAATCATAGAATGTATTTTAGTAGTGCGACTGAATTTACGAGTTAACCAGAAGCCGGTCATAGGAATCAAAAATGCAGCACCTATGCATCGACCCCAAGTCCTATGTGCATACTCCATCCACCATATCCATTTGAACTCTTCCATAGTCATAGAAGAATTTTTCCTAAAATACATTTTATAATAAAATTTGTTTCAAATAGTCTTTATTATTTAACTCACATTTTGAATTCAGGATATTGTTGATATTTATTGAATTCTTCCAACCACTGAGTCTGAGTAGTAGGCAATTTTTCACCTAAAAGTTTCCAACTAACCATAGATAGCCCAGACTCTGTCAGCCTGGTGATCCCACCTAAGGCAACAGCTACAAAAACCATTCCACTGCAACCAAGAAACCAATAACCAACATATTTTGGATCTGTTTCTACTTTTTGAATGTTACTAAAAGATTTTTTCCACACATTTAACTGTAATGTAATAAATCGAGTAATAAATAATAATAAAGAATTTGGTATACTATAATATAACTAAATGACATTAATACAGTTCACAATTATTATTATATATTTTTGTTATACACTTGAACAACTTTTAACAAAAAATGTTAAATAGTCTTTATCTATCTCAAATATTATAGGTTTTAGTGTTTTACTATAGAAATTAATGATTAAATTTACCACAATAATGGTGTACTTACATTTAAATTTGATGACATTTGTGTATTGTGGATGGATGGTTGACGAGTGATGGATAGTTGTTTGGATCTCAATAGCAAACTCTACAACACAATAAATTATAATATTTCTTAACCAAACAATACATTAAATTTAACATGGTAACATTACTTTGCCAATTGTAAAATTAGGACTCATCTTTGTACCAATACCACAAAAACATTTGCCTAGACTTAACATACTTAAAACTTTATAATATGAAATTTAAAAATATCCCAATAAATTGAACTTTAATTTAATTACCAGAACAAGAATGCAAATACCACTTTGTTGTTCTATTATAAATAAAAAATCATTAGTATTTAAATTTAAATTAGATCTGAAATCACCCGGTTGATTTCTGGAATCTTGAATCACAATTTATTCATAAACCACAGTTACACAATTCGGGGTAATTTTAATTTCTGATAACTCGTATCAACAAAAATAAAAAATTGATAACATATAAAATGATAAATAATATGTGATTGTAAATTTTCTATTATCATAGAACAATCTATTATCTATATACATTTGTGTTGTGACAAGAAAATGTTTTGAATTTCAATGTTTTGAATATAATATTAATATTAATATTATGCATTGTAATTGTAATAAATTATTAAGTTTTTTCAAAGTGACAATTCCACAAAAATAATTATTTATTACTACAAATGAACTATTGAACACTCATGTTATAAATAAAGTTATCACTTAAGGTCTTTATACAACCATAATTTATTTTAGATTTTTCAATCCTGTACAAGGCAGTAGAATGATTGAGGTATCAGCCAAACTCATTGGTGGCCCTATATTTATGCCGGGTAGTAAAATTGGTTGCTGTATAACATTTACTCATCCGCCGTTACCATCAGATTCTCGAAGCCAAAGTAATAGGTAAGAATTTATAATTTTGTATTTCTCGAAAAACCTATAACCGAGGTATATAAGTATATTATAATATGGTATTAACATTTAACTTAATATTGTTTTATAATTATAACAATTCACTTTAATTCATTTTAAGTACTTAAATAATACATAATAAGTATTTACTTAAATTAATAATATAACTAATTTAGTTTATTTTCCTCCTCATTAGGTGTATGACACATATTTTTTTTTGTTTTACACTAATCTCATTGTATTTTCAGTGACGTTTTAGAAAACTTAGCATGGGCCAGTGTGCAAATCAATTGCTTGTGTTTAACCAACGACAACATTAATTTTCCATCTGTAATGTGTGTTACCAAAGATGAGAAATATTTAGGCAATTCTGAAACTTCATTTGCGCCGTGTTTAACAGACAATGGTCATGTTGTTTTATCTACAAAACCAAAAATTTTATTTTGTGACGTTGGATTATCTCCTGGCGAAAATAAATCATGTAAGTACTAAGTAATGAAGTAATAAACAAATTTAATAATTGACCCAATTATTTTCAATATATTATTTATTATTTTCTTTAAATTGAATCACTCTGTTTAACGCTTATAATATATTATATATATTTTAGATTTATACAGCGATACATTACCTAATGATGCACCACCATCTTATAAAGGACATTTAGTCAAATATGCGTATAAAATTACAGTGGGTATGCAACGTTTAAACAGTCCAATTAAACTATTGAGAGTACCAATACGTGTTGTAGTTATACATGGTAATTTTTATAAAATATTTATGTGTATATGACTTATTCAAATGTCTATTCTTGTGTTGTAGGACTTACTGAAGGAGTGACATGTGAGAATAGTATTGATTTATCTCCAAGTAATCCATTTTTAGATTCTCAATATAAACATGAAGAATGTGACATGGCTTTACAAATGCTCCAAGTATGTGTTAAAACTAAAAATAAATAAAACAATTGAAAGTGACAATAATTAAAACTAAATACAAAACTGAAATAAGTAAATATCTTTCACTAACATTTGTATTATTTATTTGAATTATTGCAGAATATAACTGCTAAACGAAGTCCCAATTTTTATAATATAACAAACTCTCGAGGGAAAGTAGCTCGATTTTGTTTATTCAAACAAGCATACCGACTAGGTGAAGATATAGTTGGAACTTTTGATTTTGAACAAACAGATGTGTCTTGTATTGAGGTATCGTATATTTATATATATTATTATTTTATGTATTCTTTAAGTATGTGCTGAATAATTAGTTAAGTAATAACTAAATTAATATATTTTAGTTTACTAATTTTTCACATTTGTAGTTTTTTAAACACTCTATCTATACAGGATAGTGGATAATAACGCCTGATAATCAACAACTTACATACACGAATTAACAGAATACAATTATTTATTATTTTAGTATATAGACATATAGTCTTTTATCATAATATACTAGTATACTGTATAAGGATCTAAGCATAATAATAAATAATATAGTATATTATAAATTTGATTGTGTGCTATCAACCTGTAATTAACTATATAATTAAAAACTTAAAAAATAAACTATTCCATTTTATAAAAATTGTTCATACTTATGTACTACTTTCAATGTTTATAAATGCTTGACTAAAAATTAAAAAAAAAAAATACAAGTTTATCCTGTATTACCATTTTCAAGTTCGGCTGAGAAAAACAATTTTTAAAAACCAACATATAAATGAAAAAACTTAAAAATTCAAAAATTAAATTTTGTATAATATATAAAAATGATAATTTTTAAGTAACAGTGAAATGTTTCTTCTTTTTTCACTTACATAAAAATAACAAATCAACTGAGGAAATATATTCTAGACATTTTTCTCAGACCCTAAAGCTAGAATTAAACCAAATCGTTTAAAAAAATACAATAATATTTTAGGCTCCCAGCCTCAACACCATGACGCCATGGTAACGCTTCCATGTCTCACAAAATTATAGAATTACCCCCAGCCATAAGACATATGTGTCAAAATATCATCAACAAACGCGGTTATTTAATTGTTGGTAAACCGTTACTAACCAAGGCCAAAGAGTGAATGCAGAAATATAAAGTGTTTTGGCAAAGTCAAAAGTCTCATAATATTTTCAAATTTAATATTAGTTATAAGTTGATAGTATAATCACGGAATTAAATATAGAATAAACCTATTTTATCCTTATGCCAATAATATAATATATTATTGGGTTTTATTTAATTAAATCTATATATTTTATCTGACTTTTTTTTTTTCACTTTTGTAGTTCTTTAATTAAAAAATATAATTAGCTTAGGTATGCTAAAGTTATTAAATCAATAACATTTTGAAATAGTTACACATGTCGATGATTCATGAGCTTAGGACGTGTTCATGTAGCAAAATCATACTATTGCAAGGCCCAAGAGACTGTGCACTGATGTTTTGCACCCCCCCCCCACACAACAATAAGCATATGTTCAGGAAAATATTCTGTGGTCAATTTATTAATTAAATATAAAGGTGATTAAATTAAAAAAGAAATGTTCTACTTGTAAGTATAAGATTATAAAAAACTGTAAAGCTATATTGTATGCGTAACTAGTTATACATGATTGAATGTATAAATATTTCAAATGAAATGGTGGTAAAGAAATTCCCCTTGTAGGTACTTGCTACTTATATTGAAATATAAGATTATTGATGTATTTTATATTGATTACATGATGTTAGACTGTAGTGGTTTTCATTCAAGAGATGTGCGGCAAACTTTAGAATTTAAATCTGGAAACGACCAAAAACGTTAAACCATGTGTGTTTGAACTTTGTATAAGTCCATGCTTCGTGGTTCACCGATTTTTAATAGTTATTAATAGTTAATAAACATTTGTGAGATAATAATGAGATGTTCAATTTGATTCTGTGTTAAATAATCTACTTATAGTTTTAAGCGTGTGTATCATCATTGAGTACATATTTATATAAATTATATACTCAATGGTAGTATTTACTCGCATTGTGAATGTTATTGGTAGTCTGTGACCTTACTATATTAATTGTAGCATAACTGATCGGTATACGTCGACAAGACTTAGTAGATGGTATGACGTCAAAACTTTGTGAAAGATAATATTTTGAAGAGTTTTTTCAAAAAGGTTGAAAACCACTGTTTGAGTATCAATGTTTAAAGTAATAAAGTCATTAAGACATTTAGTTAAATATTGTTAGTTACTTTTTTTTTACTACGTTTATTATGTTCATTTTGGTTTAAAAATCTAGTGCAATTAATTGCCATAAAAATTTTAAAGCTTTAGAATGTTCAGACCTAAAAAATAAAAAACACTTTAAAAACATTATTTTAAGAATAAAATATAGTGCACAGAGAAAAAATTACTTAACCACTATTATAGATAGAGCAAGTAGATTCCTCATCTACAGTTACACACAAGACACGACCATTTGAAAGTATAGACGTTAGACGTATAGTTTCAACTTGCACCATTGATTAATTGATTTTGATATATATTTTGAAACAAATATAGATATTTATAAGCACTCAATGTGTACTGAACAAGGTATACCCATTAATATGTCTATGGTGCCCAAAATTCAATAATGAATACAAAATCGTCTTTAAATGCTATCACTTATCATTTATTTAAAATTGTATAATAATAATACATCACTGTCTTGTATCAAAATGAGTGAAGCTATTAGAGTTCATAACTACCATATCACCGAATTTCTGTATTTTATATTTCTATCCATAATATCTTTAATTTTAACAATTTAAACTGAACATATAAATTATAAATGGGTTATCATAAATGGAGATTCCTCACTAATGACGTTCACTAATAGGGTTGATTTTAAAGCTTACTAGGCATATAATAGGATTTGTTGAACTTTTGGTTTCAACGCGGTCAAACGCGTATTATGTTGTTCGTCTGGTTCGTGATTAAACATCTATAATAATGTAAAGCGATTATAATAGTTTAATAAAAGCCATTAATTTTGGGTACATTGCTTTACATTTCGGTTATAATTATGTACATTATTGATTTTCAATTTTCAACAACCTTCATAAATTCACTAAAACCGTAAAATTATATTTTATTATTTAATTTGGTTCTTGACAGTTTTGTAAATGGCTCGTTTATGAATGCAACCGTATTATTATTCCCCCTCCAACAATTTTTCATCTCCCTAAACCCTATTTAAATACATTTTCGTCGAATAATGCCGTAGTCATTATTTTTGAAACAAATCCAACAAAATATTCATGAGATCATAAATTATTTAAATTTAGTAGATGCTAAAAATCAAACTATATGTAATTAATGTAATTTAACTATACATTTTAATGTTTTATTATCTTAATGCTTACTTAAGGTATGATAAAAAGTAACGAAATAATAATGTATTTTTGTATTTAGCTATAATTAAATACAAACACCCAAATCATTTTAATATTATATAAAATAACATTTCTGAATTAACTATAAAACATATAATAATATAAACGTGATTATCTGAGCAAGAGACTTACTATACTTACTTAATTAAACAACTTAAAGTAAAAAACAAACCCTAAGAATCAACGTCTTAACATTTGAACGATAGTTAATATGATTTTTTATTTCGAGGGTACAATATTCTGAAGCAAAAAAATATTATTCATTATTTATTTTTTAACAACTATAAACATATTTTAAACTTTTAAAGATTAAATTATGAATACCTATAAACATATTTTGTTAAACAATAGCTCAAACTGGTCTACGGCGGATGAAAACCGCAAAAATACAATACCTTTGGTAAAAAAAGAACATGCGCATAGCTTCAATATTGTATCAGTTCGATAGTTTTTCTATCGATTTCCTTCATTTCAAAAAAGTATTAACTGAAAAACTAACCATAAAACAATTAAGACCCACATAATTATAAAACCGATACATTTCTTACGACGAACTAGCTTACAATCTTTTTTTTTTTTTTTTGGTTGATTGTAATAATGTACTTTTTAATTATTATTAAGTATTATCCTTATAATCTATTAAATTAATGTACAAAATACGACACTAACTAATAGTTTGTTTTTTTAATTTTTAATTTTATTACTTAATCATATAGTAACTATAAGTAAGTATAAAAAAATCCTGTTTGCATTATTAATTATCAAAATGTTGACGTCATTATCATAATTTTAAAGAGTAATTAAGAGTTATTTTGGAGAGTATGAAAAAAAACACATATTAATGTCATTTTCGTAATTTCATTAGACGTCATATAAAATCCATGGTCAAGGCAGGATTAAAAATACCCTTGATCTTTTATAATATTATAAGACGTATAAGAAAAATTATATTTATTTTCAAAACAGCAACCTTTAAATAAACATCTGAATAGTAAATAGAGTAGCATATATTTTAGATTCTGAGCGGAGCGAGGAAGCTAGTGGTTTTACAATGATGTGTATTTTTTTTTCCTGTATACAAAATTTCTAGCAGAAGGAGTTCTTCAATTTATACATATAGTACCTTATCTTTTAGCAAATTGAATCAAGATAGTACTTTAGGGAGGTAATTTTTCGATTTTATCAATAGTTAATTAATGCCACGGTAAAAGTCACCTAAAAATTAAGAAAAACCGCTAAAAATTGGATTTTAATTTCTAACGCTTTGTTTATTAACTATTACCATAGAAACGAATAAAAAATAATAATATTATAAATTATAATATTAATAAACATTCCGTGATATAATAATTAATGACAATATAAAATATCCAGACTGACAAACCGTCTCCGCTCAGAATCGTTTTTCTTATACAATGCTAGAATATCATTGAATTCAAGTTTAATACAATCCATTATACAATGACCCACTTGTAACCTACTGTACAGCAGATCGACATCCACTTATCCGCTTTTTTAAATCTTCTCGCTTCGCTGGTGCAAGCAGGATTGTTCTCTCTCAGAGTGAAATCACCCACACATCCCCGTTATTATCTTATTTTCCACTGGTATAGGATACAATTGATGGAAATTCCTACAACACTCTCTATAATATGACGATCGGTATTATTTCTAATTCACAACTTAAATTGGTCACGTGGTGGTCTCCAAATAAAAAACTATTATAATTATTATGATTAATAACTTACAATACAGTTTACAGTAAGCTTGCAGTGCGAAGAGGCCGTAAATAAAGACTTTGTAGCGGTCAGTCCGAGGCCCAGGAAGGACAACGTATCTATCGTCTCATACAACACTCAACATCAGTTCTGTGCGAATACCTTGAAATCATTTTTGCAGCTCGCTATACCGTTGAACGTCACCCCAGCGTTTAGTACGCTTCTAGGTAATTACATATTGTATAACTATGTAATATACACATATGTTAAGGCTCACATTGTTGAATCGAGGTACCTAGTGGGAGAAGAGAAGCTAAGCACCAACCACCTGACCGTTTATAACTCTCAGAAAGGCTGCATACGAATTGCATGCCAAAAAAAAAAAATGTCCAAATTGCATGCCGTCTCTTGTAGGGGTCTGTCCGAATTGCATGCCATCTCTTGGAAGGGTCTGTCCGAATTGCATGCCATCTCTTAGAGGGCTTTGTCCGGATTGCATGCCGTACACCACACGTTTATTTACTATGCACTTAAACAACTTAAACTTTTTTTTGGACTTTCCTAATTTTTAAAAAAAAAATTCATGTATAGAAACGCTCTTTTATGTATGGTTGTTACAACTGTTTAGTGATTAGTTTCTGGATTGAAATATTTTTATATCCGTGTAAATATTTTCCCAAACAGTATCTATATTGGAGTAATGTAGTGAATTGTGGTCTCGGTCTGTTTCACAACAGATTAATAATATTTTATTATTATGAATTATTATTATATATTATTTTGTTTATTTAAATAATTGTAATATTGTGTGCCCGAAATGTCAAAAAAAACCACCAAATTTAAAAATAATATTATTTAAAATACACTCACTTGATTACCCTAAACTACAATAGTTTTATTTAACTAATGGCCTATGTTGTCGAAGAAAAAAAAATAGTTTTATTTTATGATTCTTATTCACAGTGTCACCTTCTACAATATTTATATGTTTTATTGTAATGTAACAAAATCCCGATCCTCCAGTTCAAAAGTAAGTTATTTATTCGGATATACCCCTCTAAGAGATGGCATGCAATTCGGACAGGCCCCTCCAAGAGACGGCATGCAATTCGGACAGACCCCTCCAAGAGACGGCATGCAATTCGGACGACCCGATTTATATTTATTTTTTTGGCATGCAATTCGGATGCACCGCTCAGAAAACAGCTCCTAGAGAAATTGTATTCCCAAAAACCTATAAAATAATAAATTTATTTTTCTATGCCTCCACAGAAAATCCTCTCTATATACGGGTTTTTAAAAAATATTTCATCAAAAAAATACTTCCATACTTACACTCTCCTGTCTCCCGACTCCCGTGTTAGAGGAATACACTTCTACAGCAATGTGTTGTCCACCTACAGTGGACGTCCATTCCTCCAAGTATTCGTATAATATACTATAGTTTATAGCCAAAATGCCAAACATTATAGACACATACATTCCATTGTAGGTAAGGGGAGTGTTTTGTTGGTGAAATGTCACGTGCCCTGCTTTTGTTTTTAAGTTGTAAACCTTTCTTAAACTAAAGTTTTTTTGGTATACCAGTTTGTATATTATGCAGTAAGCAGATACTAACCGAAGTATAACCACTCAGCGTGCCTATACGCTTCCAAATGAGTCTGTATAATAGTGGTACCTATCTTAATTGATTGATTACGCTCTCTGTGTATAATATTATTATGTTATTGTTATTATTATGATATAAAATACGTTTAGTATGCGTGAAATGGAGGCTTCACTTTGAATTCGTGACCAGTACGAAGACTTCAGGCGAACGGTTGGTCGAAACCAAGGAGGGCACTTGCTGGACAGGCCCGGAACACGTAGACATTGAGACAATGGTGTGGGATTTGCCCATACAGATTTACCCGTCCGTGCCATCCATAGCCAACGACCCACACGCCCAAACGAGGATAACAATCGCGATATGATTTTTTCCTCATCGTTTACCTATATACATATAGGTACACCATACACAATGTTTTGCACTTTTTATAAAAATATAATAATGTGTATTATTTTTATTATTATTATTGTTATTATTATAATCTTTTTTTACAAATTATCAATCAAAACATTTTTTTTACACCTATTATTATTTTTTTGTTTATTATTGGTATCTTGATAAATTACTTTTATTCTGTTATTAAAAGTCGAAAGGGGACATTTTCTAGTGTTTTTTTTTTCCTACTCCGCTCCCGCCGACCAGCAGAAAAGCCCTTTTACAAATGTCAACTCTTACACGAATACAATAATGTCGTCCTGTCCTCCACGTGACGTGTTATTAAAAGGACGTCCGAAAAGACATTAATCACTGTAGCACACGCACACATGTTATTATTATATAGTCGTTGTCCGTCCGTCGCTGATGACCAGTGACGGCCGCGGCAGCGGTCAACTGCGATTGTGTGCATAAACTTTCGGTTAGCCTTCAGACTCGGTGAAATAATAATAATATTATTATTACAACAGTATAATAATAATAATAATACATAACAATACGCGGCAGAGCTGCAGCGGTTATGATACAATTTGACAAACAAGGAACCGAATCGCGTGTAATTCCGTGCGGTACAAAGGCATTCCTGAGCGATACTGAATATTAAAATAACTTCCGGTCGGTCAAACATCATAAATGGCAAAGGCGTACACTGCAGTAGATACGCGGCACACGTAAATAATAATAATTTGAATAATAATATACGAATCGGTCGTACGGGGTGAATTTTGAATTCCTTGCCAAAGAAAATACGCTTTACAGTTTTTATGTTATATATTATTATTATTATGTTCCCTGCAGGGTCCTACTCATGCAGTCATGCGTATGTTTTGGATTTTTATTTTTATTTATCTTTGTATAGTATCAATATTATACGATCGTGTTACCTAGAATCATGTTGGGTAAGGAACCTAACACCTAACGGGGCTTAGCCCTTCAAATGTTTGTAAACCCTCTAATTAATAATTTTAAGTTCGTTTTCTTCAATCTTCATGTACCATCAATGGTATTGGCTCCTTTCGTCAAAATAATGTTAACTTGTCATATTTGTTACTTTTAGCCTATATTCTTATTGTATCAAATTATACAAATTGTATGTCGCTTGTAAAAATACAAAAAAAATTTTAAAAAAAGTTCGTTTATTCTTAATAATTATATGTATGATTTTTTTTCACAACATTTTAATTTTTTTAGTCAATAGTATAAGTTACTGATTATTGAATAATAATTTATGTCCAACTTTCAACTCAGAACTAAATCTACTAAGGCATAGGTATAATGACTGTATACAAATTGAAATATCGTATAAAAAAAATCACAACTGATGTTCCTAACATTTAAGTTTTATAATAGGTCAATACACTTAAAACTCAACAACTTAAGTTCACTGCACAAGGTCAGTACAGCTGAGCAAGTGGACTCAATGGGAGCAAACAAATAGTGCACTGGCATCCTCTTAATAATAAAAATTGCATTCAATAATTTCAATATACCTACCTAATAATTATTATTATTTTGGTTAAGTTGGTGCTAAAATAGTAAAGTTGACTTATCTTTTGTTTTACAATTGTTTTAACTCTATAATTTATAATTGAATAAATGTTTTAATATACCTATATTTGTTATAAATTACTGTGTAACTATATAATATAGTGTTTCTATTAAAAACGTTTGTATTGATAAATTTGTTAGCTATATGGGGTTTTGCTACAATGCATTCAGCGGTTCTATGTGCTATCAAATATTTAAGTTTCCACCTCTCTAATATTTGCCAGGATCTCCGACTATGCCTATTGAATCCGGACTATCAATGAATTCCAGTTACCACCTAAACGGAAAAAGGCGTTTATATTTTATAATACGTACAATAAATATCTATATATTATATAAGTAAATGCAAAAAGCCACACGCTCTTTGGCGATAAATTAACGAGGGTTTGGGGTGAGACCACGACACCTAATTCGTTTTCTCGATCTGTTTTGCATGAAAAACACCGCCTGCCGTCGCCGTCGCCACGAATCACGTTCTTTATTCCGTGATTAACGGCTCTCTGGTTCAGTTTAAGGGTGATTTACATCAGCTCATTAAATCGGTCAATTTATTTGTATGTAGGTATACGTATTTCTATATAGTTTGTAAAAATGAATACTTTTATCCTAACTATTTATACTAAAAATAACAATACGGCTAATAATGTTTAATTATACCATTTTTTTAAATGGCAGCTTATATTTTATATTTCATGAATAGATAGATATTTCTTTCGAAAATATGTTATGTATTATTTGTGCATTTTGCAGTGTACAAGTAATGAATTAAAATTAAAATTTAGCATTTTTAGTTTATTCACATACCTAAATATTTTTATTTTAAAGGTTAGACACCTATAGAAGGAGTTTACCAACGCTCCCAAATATTTTATAAAATGCTGGTACTTATCTATTTTGATTTTTGACATTTTAAAAGTACCAACTAGATCCAATTTTCGCGGTCGTGTGTTTTCGCATGTTTTGCCTATACAATGTGCGTAGGCCTAACGAGAGGATTCCCCCGGGCCCGTAAATTTGACAAAGTTAATGATAGGCGTGGTAAAAATAGTTGGACACTGGGGCCCCCAAGGTATAACCCCCGTACCTGGTTTGCCGACAACCATACGTATATAGTACGTTTGGCCCCCAGTGGTATTTCGCGTTGACAACTTTGATTTGGAGCCGCGTAAATTGACCCGCCGATGACTATCAATAGGTACCTGAAAACGTGTTAATTGTTTTTAAAATTGTTCATTGTGCTAATATAAATGTAATATAAATTTCAAGTATAGTGTACGTTTATTTGTTTTTGAGTAAAGTACATCTATTATAGCAAAAAAAAAAAAATGGATTCTATCAAAAATTGGGTTTGCATAAAAATGTCCATTTTTCTTTAATTGTTATTTTGTTGTTCCGACGCTTTTGAAAAGTACTGGGAATTTTTGACCTCTCCAATGCACTAGATTCACTTTCCCACTAGAAAAGATACTAAAGTAGATAATTTAAGTATTTTAACTACTCCAAAAGACGACGATAGACACAAACTAAAAACATATCATTGTAAAATCAATACTCCTGTCTGAATCCAAAATTGTTAGACAGTTTTACTGATCTTGTAAATTTTGGTCACTCGATGCAATAAGCATAAATAAGACATAAATTAATACCATAGAATAAATTCTAAAAGGTTAATTCGAAAAGGGTAGGTACCATCAACCTTCTATTGTTAGATGAAAATATATAGATACATTTCTAAATTCTTAGATTTATTATAGATATTTACTACTTACAGCTTTATTGAATAACAATTAATACCGCTATATGGCCTATAAGAACCTTTCTAATTGTTCATTCAAACGAGATGTTATATTCAACATTGTACTAGGTTTCATAAACATAATAATTCAGAAAAATATAACTAAACCTCTGAATCCCCCAGTACCACCGGTAGTTGTGACATTGCTCAGGACAGCACCTACAGTCCTGCTCTAGTACACTGCCGCAGTATTTGTTTGCACCGAAGTGATTTATAAACATTGAGTTTTAATTTTCGGATATACGGATGGAAGATGCAAGATATATAAGTATACATATATATTATATTTTACGGTTGAGCAGTGGGAGGGTTTGATGTATCGTTCCAATATCTTTTGGGAGCTGTTGCGATGATAGTGTGTGGAGTGGGTAGCGTATATTATATAAGTACCTAATAATAATATAAAAATATATAATATTATGTGCCTTGTACGTTGTCCGTATCATAGGCGTAGGACGACCAATGGCTGTAACACTATCGCACCGTATGCTATAGCGTGCTAAGATCCGAACGCCAAAAAGGTTCATCTTAAAGTTCAAAATACCACCGAACTGTAAACGACAAGATCATTTGCAAGCTACATCGGTATAATATATATACTACAATATATCGGTGGCAAAGGTGGTCAATGGTCATTAGATATCAAGGTAATTAAAAATTTTAATTAAAAAGATCCTTACTTTTTTCATAAAAAATATTAACTCTTTATTTTATTATTTAATAATTAGCTTAATAACTTACCTAACTAGTAATCATTGTAATAACTTAGCTTTTTAGTTAAGTAATAGGTATTTATATATCCATACATATAAGTTTCAGTCGGTTTAACTTGTCCATTAATTATTTTTATGTTTAATCTCGTATTGTATACAATGATTTCAAATACTTAATAATTTAATAATTGTGTTGACACAAACGTGTAATTTCCAAATATTATACTTACTCTACTTACTAGGCACCTACATGGCTACATCTAGCTAGTGTGTTTCAATATAATGTTTAGTTATTATTTAAAAAATGTAATAGTTACACAGTGAATATAGGTATGTGTGACCTAATAACACATCATAAGAAAATCATTAACTATATTTTACCTGAATTAAGTTATTTTGCCTTCATATTAACTTTAAGCTTTTAGAGTACACGTATTTAAAATATTAACTCTAACGTTCTTATTACGCTGACCTAACTTAACTCAATCAAGTTAATATTGTTAAATAACATTCCCGTAGTCGTTGGGTGGTAGGTATGAATTGTTTTGTCTCAATATGTCTGTATTGTGTCCAGTGGCGTAGACAGGAATTTTCATTGGTGGGAGGTGTATATATATTCATTATTTCCAAGATAAATCTCAGGAAGTGCCCCCCTCGGCCCTCCCCATACTAATATTATATATAAAAAAAAGGTCATGGGTATACATCCCTCATATCAACCCCCCCCCCGTGTATACGTTAATGATTGTACCTATATAAAAATTGCAAAGCTCAGATTACCTAACATCTGCAGTCAAGATTTTGCTGACTTATATTTTCGGTACACTAGGCTTTGTGTCTTCTAGCTGTCATCTGGATTGTTTTCTTCATAAG